TTTTTACTACTCTCAGATATAATGCATATTATAAGTCAATTTACATACGGGTGACTAATAAAAGAGGTATAATATTAAAGCACTAATGAATACCATGAACCTCAAATACCATGACCCTCAATGTCCTAAATGTCTTCACTTTAAACGTTTTACTCAATAAAAATCAGGTATACCATTTCTAAATAATCAGATTTTCCAGATTAGTGAAATGTGAATTGGAAATGTGGGCTATGTCTGTATTTTCCTTAATTCGATCTTTGTGAAGACCTTCCCTGCGCTCAGCGTTATGTCAGGCACTTAGGCTACGGCAGTGGATTAGTGTGGTTTCCGCCTTTGGAGGCTGACATCCTAGAAGGGGACACAAACAAATGAGTAAGCAAATTTTAAAAGAAAAAAGGAAAACCTGTGATAAGCGCAAGGAAGGAAATAAACAGGGCGCTGTGATGGTGAAGAAGTGGGTACGGTGGGGGCAGCATCGGTTTACGTAGGTGAGCAGAGAAGGTTTCTCCAAGAAGCTGAAGTTTAAGCCAAGACCTTAAGGATATTTTAGGATACCTCTCCAAGGTCACCAAATTGGCAGGCTTGCTGATTAGGCTGCCAAGACATTTTTAGCATTAGAAAACAAAGAGAAAATGGCATCTATGACCCTGATTGAATGCAAGTTCACGAGCTCACCCGGGCACTCTGTACACCAGCAGGGGTGGCAGCAGAGGGTTAGCACTTGGAAGGTGACCCATCCCAGCCTATTCACCCAGAGAGAGTTTAGAACAGTCAACACAAACAACAATGAGCTGGTCGGATGACCGGCATTTGGGCTATGAGAGAGAAATTTATCCTGTTGATTCATACTTCCTGATAGTCCCACTGGCTGACAAAGCTCGGGGTGTTTTGAATATTTCATGAGTAAATTATTCCTCCGGTCCAGGGGAAGACAGATGTTTACAACTATGTAACACTTTCCCTTATACTTCCAGTTTATAATTTACTTAACTCAGTAGGTATAAAAGCCCTTTAAACATTTATTTTTCTGTAGGTTCTGTAATAGATGAGTCAGGTAATGCAGCAGTTAACATGACATTGACACCAGTTAGGAAATCTGTGGAATTCTCACAACATCCTTTTTTTTTTTTAGAGAATCCACATTGCTAAGCAATTACTTTCTTCAAAGGAACTGTCCTTCCTATGTTCAGAGCCATGGTAATCAAATTTTACCACATTCTAGCCTCTCATTCTGAAATCCCCCTTTCCTACTGCTAAATGAATTAAGATGAAATAGAATTGCTTAATTGGAAGTTGGCATGGCTTGCAGCTTGGATTCTACTTACCTGGAAAAGGTTTTCTCCTCTAACCACCATATGGAGTTTAGAACTGGACCTATAATAGGTATAACTCGTAGTCAGAGAGCCCACTGATGGGATATGAGAGGCTTGGGATACAGTTCCCTACCTGGAATGCTCTTTCAGTTCCATGTCAGCTTGTCCTGGGGCCTGGAATTCCACTATGGGTGAGTTCTCTTGGAATTTTTTGGGAGGTTTTTTTTTAATCTTTAAATATCCTTTATGGAAAATAAAAATATCCCTAGGGAGATGCTGTATTAAATCATCACCCTAGCAGGATTAGTTGACAACCAGCTTTAAGCAGTGTGACTCAGAAGCAGTGTGTACCCGTAGACCACGAAAGGTCAGAAAAGCAAGGAAGGAGGGGAATTTGGAGGTCACTAAACACAGTAAACGTCACTGTACTTTACAAACTTGCCTCAAGTCAGCTCTCAAAATTTCCAAATACCACCTAAGGCTGTAGACCCCAACCCCCTGGCCATGGACTAGTACCGGTCCAGTCCGTGGCCTGTTAGGAACCAGGGGCACAGCAGGAGGTGAGCGGCTGATGGGCGGGCCAGCAAAGCTTCTTCTGTATGTAGAGCCACTCCCCATCACTCACATCACCACCTGAGCTCCATCTCCTGTCCAATCAGCCCTGGCATTAGATTCTCATAGGATCAGGAAACCTACTGTGAACTGTGCATGCGAGGGATCTAGGTTGTGCGCTCCTCATGAGAGTCTAATGCCGGACGATCTGAGGTGGAGCTGAGGCGGTGATGGTAGCGCCGGGGAGCGGCTGCGAATACAGATCATCATTAGGTGAGAGGTTTGACTGCACAATAAATATAATGCGCTTGAATCATCCCGAAACCATTCCCCCACCCCTGTCCATGGAAACATTGTCTTCCATGAAACCTGCCCCTGGTGCAAAAAAAGTTGGGCACCACTGATCTAAGGCAGTGGTTCCCAAACACTGGAACCACCTGGGGATCTTTAGAAAATACTGATACCTGGCTTCCTCCCCCACACATTCTGATTTAATTGACATAGAGTGCCACCTGATCATCTGACTTTTTAAAGGTACCGGGTGACTCTATTGTGCAACAGTGTTTGGAAGCTTTGCTCTTAATCTCTTGCTGGGATGATGCATTGATTTCCTTCACACACAAGGATCTCCTGTGTCAGTGGTTCATGACTATGGTAGCCCATTAGAAAAACCTAAGGCACTTAAAAAAAAAAGATGCCTGAGCCCCACCCTCAAAGATTCTGATGCAATTGCTCTGGGTCTGGGGAGCAGCCCTAGCATCCCTAGTTCTTCAAATGCCCCCAGGTGATGCTACTGGAATTGTTTTCCCTGAGTCTGTAACTTGATTGTGAATAAACCAGGAGTGCCAGTCTTCCTCCCTTTTGTCCAGGTGAGGACTACCCCCAACAGGCAATAAAACATTTCTCCAAAGCTATCAGCAAAGGTGGGGCGGGTGGGGAGGGAGTGAGAGAGCAAGGGGTGAAATTTATTAAATCAGGAGAAACAGAAAATTCAGAATAAGGAGCAGCACTGGTCCTCTGCCACCCCTCCCCCATTACTAAATTTTATTGACTGGCATGAGAATTTCTTTAGAATGCTTCCTGGAGGTGGCTCAATTTTGGATTTGGTTCCAATAAGTTGTGAAGATTCTTGTCCAATCAGAACCCCTGGCAGTGCAAGTAGCCAGATTGGCAGGCCCTGAGCCTCTACTCCCTGTGAGATTCTGTTTCATGAATTTCCCAGGAGGATTTCTGCACCACTTGGATGCCAATTGTCCTGCTCCACACCCTCCCCCTCGCTCTTGGCCCTTATCCCCACCCCCACCTTCTCTCCCCAAAGCTCAGCAGAGTTGAGAATCGTAGATATACTTGTAAAGAAGTGACCTAGATATTTTACACAGGAATCATTCCAGTAAATAATGCCCTTAAATGACGGGCGTTTTTGACGTGGCTGGGAGACCTGTGTGCTACTTTAGCAAGTGCCTCTGCTAACCACTCTGGGACCTGGGCACAGCCACGCGTCTCGCACGGGAAAGGAAGCCCGCGGAGACCCACCCACACCGCGGCTGCACCCACTCCGGGCGTGGCTACTGCACCCCCAGGTCTGTCTGCCGGCGACGCGTCCCCTACATCCCCCTGTCTACGCTGAACTGAGTCGGCTTATGAATTAAGAGCAGCGCAAATTAGAAGCACTGACTCGGAAAAGCCTTCTTTGCACCCTTCTCCTTTACAGATGAGAAAACTTAGGGGGGAAAAGGCGATGTGACTCCGTCCGGGCTTGGCCACAGAACTTTTGTGGCGGAGCCCGATTTAGCCGCCCTTGAATTTCCATTCTGTTGCCTGGCAACCGGTTCAGACCAACTCAGCGCCCAACCCCGGCCCCTACCCCGCACCCTTTCTCCGCCCGTGCAGCTCGGGCAGCGGTGATCAAAGGTTCAGCTTTTCGGGACAGGGGCCAAGGGCATGTGAGCGAGGACACTGGATGGATTACCCGGTTGGGCTGGGATCCGGCCCCAAACAGGAGCGAGCCCCGCCTAGCCCGGACTGGCGCGCCTTCCGCTGTGCTCTCGGGACCTTCCCCCGCAACCAGAGCCCTCCTCCCCCAGTGCCATGGATACCTCTTAACATACTCATGTCAAGTTTCCAAAGTTCTCAGCTGCTGTCAGATTCTCTAAGAGTTGCGGTGGGAAAACTGGCACTCCGAGTTAGGGAACAAAAGAAGACAGTTCAGGGGGAAAAGAGCGTTCAAGCGTCTTTTCCTTCCCAGGATAGCTACACTCGGGCCGGACTTTCTGCCGCGGTGGAGTTAACGTGGCCCAAGCCGGGCAGCAGTGAGAAAGTGCGGGACGTGCTCCGGGCGCCCGCAGAGGCAGGCCCGCGGGTGGCAGCACTCCCGGGGCCCAGCGCCCCCCACCCCGGCCCGCGGCTCGGGGGAGCGCACGTGCTGCCCACCACCGCGCAGGTGGCTGGCGCGCGATCCGCCTGTCCCCGCGTCCCCACAGCGCCGAGCCGGACCTGCGCGCCGGGGGCTGCTCGCCCGGCGCCCTCACACTACGCCCTGGGCCCAGGAAACTGGACAGTAGGGGCATGTTCTCGTTGTTACGTTACCCCAGATCCTTACCCAGGTTCACGAAGCTCATGACCATGTCCGCGTCGTTGAGGAAGGCGCTGTCCTGCGCGCTGGTCAGTGGGGACGCGCCGCCGCCACCGGGTCCGGAGGCCAGGAGACTCTTGCTGTTGAGGGGGTGCGCGGCGCCGGGGGGCGACTGCCGGGGCTGGGACGTGCTGGCCCCTCCGTGGGGCCAGGGCTGCCGCCTCTCCCCCTCCGATGCCCCATCCTCGTCGTCGGCGGCGGACAGGGCGTTGTACAGATCCAGCATGAAGAGGGGTGCGGACTTCAGCCGCCCCGGAGGGGGTTCCCCGCGAGGCAGCTGCTGCTGCTGCTGCTGCTGCGGGAGCGCCGGGGGCTGCGGCTGCTGGAGGCCATGCAGGGGCCGGGGCCGGTGTGGGAGCCCCAACACCGAGAGGATCTCCTTCTGCATCTCCCGCTTCTCGTGCGTCTTGAGGCGCCGGTAGAGGAAGCCCGAGGAGGAGGACTGCGGCGGCGACGGCGGCTCCGCGTGGCCGGGGCTGCCGCGGTCCCCCAGCAACTGCCCCCCGGCGGCGGCCGCGGCGGCGGGCAGGGGCGGCCACAGCGGCGGGGGCCCGCAGCAGCTGCACAGCAGCCCCCACCACCAGCACAGCCACTGCGCCCTCCGCCCCAGCCCCGGCATCCCCGCCGGGCCGGGCTGTCCCCGCGGGCCCCGCGAGGCGTGGAGCGGCGGAGCGAGGCCGGAGCGCGGCCGCTGTGGCCCTTGGCGTGAGCAGCCCCCGCCACCTCTCAGCGGGCGCACTTCCCCTGCCTAGCCCTCAGTCCTTATCTCTCATGGTCGTCTGGGGCCCCCAGTTGCCCAGGCTGGAGGGGTGGCGAGGGGCGATCGCCGGGAGAATCACTCGGAGGGGAGGACCGGGAGCCCCACAGTCTCGCGCGGGTCTCTAGAGGCGCACGGCCCGGGCCAGGTGCGTCCGAGTCAGGGCTGCGCTGCCGCCCGCGCCTCGCCCTTGGGCGGGTCACGGCGCGGTCACTCCCAGGCCTCGCCGCCCGCGCACGTGCGCTGCCCCTCGCTCTCCGGGCGGCAGCGCGGGGCCGGGGCTCAGGGCCGCAGGCCGCTCACGAGCTGGGGGGGATGCCGAGCATCATCGCAGCGCACGCCCCTCCCCGGCTCGCAGGGCCACTGTGGCGTTTACCCCGTCGTAGGGCCCAGGCTGTGGCGACAAGGCGTCCGAAATGCCAGTCTTCTCCGCGAGGCTTAACTTGCTCCTCGCTCACAAACTCCGCGCCCCTCCGCCCTCGGGCACCGCCGCTGCCCCTCAGAATCTCCGCGCGCGCTTCGCCTCCTCGGAAGGAGGCAGCGAGGATCTTGCTTCCCGTTCAGTGCTCGGCCGGTGCCCAGCAAACCCACTCGCAGAGCGGATGGCGGGGAAGGGGACCGGTGCGCCGAGCAGTGGCCGCGGCGTCGGCGCCGGAATTCGCAGTCTCCCGCCTCTCGGCGCTGCGCTCGGCAGCGGCCAACGTGGGCTTTCTGCGGCGCGGCTCACTCAGGTACCGCACTCGGGCCCCGGGACTCCCGCCCCCGCGGGTAACCGACAGGCTGGCAGCCAATGGAGAGACGAGTCTTGCGGGCTATTTAAATGGACCCGCCCCCTTCTTTCACCCTCCCTCCCGGAGGGGCGGAGCCACGCCGCGCGTAGGTTCCAAGCAGAGTCGTCTCGGGGGAACCGGCGGAGCGCGAGGTACCAAAGGCAAAGAGAGGTTACAGCTAGTAAGAATGATGTGATCAGTACCCCCAAATGGTGTCTAAGTTGATGTTTTAACTAAATACAAGTAAAAACAGCTCTTAAATCAATAGGGCCAGAATTAATGGAGGGAGAAAAGACAAATGATAGTTTCCTCATTCCTTCCTTAGTTTCTGTTATTGATGCGATGTGGGCGTTTAGCGGACACGTGGCTTTCAACGGCAGCTGCTGGAAGTTGGGACAAACCCTTTGAGGGAGCTGTTCACAGTCTGGCCACAGAGAGGGCCAAATGTAGCCAGACCAGCGTCCCAAGGGTTTGGGGTCGAATATTTTGACTCATTTGAGCTTTGATTTGGCTTCTGAAGCTAGCACCCAAAAGAGAATACAATCAGATAATGTAGTAGAAAAGCCACCCCTACCTTCTTGGAAATGTCTCACTGCTTCTCCAGTTTGTCTGTTAACGGTGCATTTTAATGTATTGGAATACAATGTAGTTTACAATTGGTAAAATTTGAAGAGAGCTGGTAAAGAAACTTCCAGCAAGGGCAGGGGCTTGGCGTGCATCCTGAATGGTCCGGATAATAGTCAAGGCCCTGAAACACAGGTTGCTGTGAACTTCAGACAAGATGCCATCACCACCACCAACAACGGTGCAAATTCATTCGCCTGCACACTGCCCAAGAATGCCTAGATATGTATGGATCCTAGAAGCAAATTCACTTAAAACATTAGGTTCTTCCACCTGGTGAAAAGTGTGTGGATTAGAAAATAAAAACTGTAATTTGCTGAGTTGGCAGCCTTAGTTCACATGGTCCAAGCATATGGGAGTGAAACCAAATAGATACAGACTGAGGGATTCATGAACTTCAGATATCTTAGGCTTTTCGCTGGTCCAAATCTTATAAGCATTTCTGTCTTATTTCAAAGAATTTGTTTTGCATGGGTAAGAGTCTTTACCTCCAACCACTTACTGGATCCTTCTTTCTAGTTCTGTCTTGGCCTAGGCACAGTGGTCATTTGGGACAGTATTTATTTCTACGAATGTCCAATAGGCATTAATTTCAGCCCACGCAATTTAGTTTTTAACCACCTACAAGGATTCTTTTCATCTAAAAAGAGAATACATCATAACTTGGTCAAGGATGCCAGGACCCTTAGAATTCAAGAGCCTCATCACTTCTTTTTTCTGTCTAGAACATGTTACAAACATGGACTCATGGCATTTCTCTGCTCAGATCTGAAATCCCAGCACACATATGTAGGCTTCCTGCCAAGGGCCTCCTCCCTTTTCAAACCTAGTCACACTTTCTTCTTCATAAGACTTCTGGCGAGACACAGCAGAGTAACAGAAGTTCCCACCTCTGAGAGCAGTGGGGAAGGCACTGGGAAACAGAAAAACTTGAATGTAGACGAGGGCACCTTGGTAGGGCTATGCCATTTAAAACCCTCACCCCATCATACAGGTTGAGCATCCCTAATCCAAAACTCTGAAATCCAAAATGCTCCCAAATCCAAAAATTTCTGAGTGCCCACAAATGGAAAATCCCGCACCTGACCTTGTGTAATAGGTCACAGTCAAAACTTTGTTCATGCAAAAAATTATTAAAAATAGTGTATAAAATGACCTTCAGGCTATGTGTACAAGGTGTATATGAAACATAAAAAGGAATTCATGTTTAGGCTTATATCCCATCCCTAAGATGTCTCATTGTGTATATGCAAATGTTCCAAAATCCAAAAAAATCTGAAATCCTAAACTCTTCTGGTCCCAAGCATTTTGGATAAAGGATATTCAACCTGTATATGCATCTATGGGGATGGATGTAGTGGAGAACACATCCACACACGTACGCCATCTCCCCCTTTCCTTAGACACTGGGTTAGAGGTAGATGGGCCGGTGTGACATGAGTTTAAAATGGTACTTAGCGATTCATTATTGTTAAACAGCTGAGCAGCAAGTCTGATTCAGGAACCGAGAGTCCCACCAGGATGGACTCTCAGTTCCTGCCGAGAAGTGCCAGAATAAGGTCATGCTGAGGATGCTTCCAAATGATGAACATGAGAGCGCACAGCTCCCTTCAGAGCCAGGGGAAGCCCCAAAAGATGTGAAATGAGATATTACAGTGATCATAAGGGCAGTGACATTCAACTGAGGACCACAAGAGAGGATGTGCTCCTCTTATGTTCCTACTGTTCCCAACCTGTGCATGTCATGTTTGCTGGAAAACACGCAGTCAAGCACTTGTATCCATTGGGACAAAGGGGACAGGTAAAGAGGTGCAGTTCTAAGATTTTAGTAACCTCAAAATTGGGACCACTGCTTCTCCAAGCCAATCAGAGCTCTAGGTGGATAAGGAACCCCTAAGCACCACCTCGCCTACTCCCTGCTTCTCTGACCCCTCCCTATGAGACACCCCAGTGCTCTGCCAGAAGTCTCAGGACAGGGAACTAGACCCGAGGACCAGGCATGGGGTGGGATGGAGTTGAAGGGAAAGGAGCAGGTCTGGCTTTGGAGGCTGCTGGAATGTGGGAACCAAACTGACTTGAGAAAATTAGAGGTAACTTCGCCCCCTGCAGGACACCAAAATATTACCGCCCCTGCCTCTGCATGCCTGGAACAAGCTTCATTAAGTTCTCAGAGCAGGTCTCTAAAACATCTGGGTGGAAAGAGGGGGAATTTGAACAAGAAGCCAGATGTGGGAGCCAATTTTTATCAAACTTCTAGTTGCTTGGCTGACATATCAGGCAGATGGCCGTCAGTTTTCTGGAAATAGGCTGCCCATCCCAACCCTGCCCCGCTTTCTGAAGAAATGAGGAAC